TGGAAGTGGCCAGCAAATGGCCCTCGCCTACTTCACATATCTGGCTTGATGGGCTCCAGGGGAGAGGTTTCGTCAGGCAGCGGGATGCTCCCCTCACAGCGCTGAGAGGGTGGTGCGAATCCAAAAAGAAGCGCGAGGCCACCCAGCTCCCAGCCTGCATGGTTTCGGCAGGCAGCGGGGCGCTCTCCTCACAGCACCAAGAGCTGAGCCGGGTTGCGCGAATCTGATGAGAAGTACAATGCTGCCTAGCTCCCAGCCTGCCCAGTTTCAACAGACAGCAAGGTGCAAAAGTGGCAAGCTTAGCACCGCCTGGCTCAACCTCTCGGCGTTGTGAGGAGAGCACCCTGCTGCCTGCCGAAATCATACCCACCCCACTCCATCCATGCCCACCCAGTAGGCTGCACCCACTCTGGCTACACCCCCCGCTCCCCCTCCAAGGGAAACCATAATGCTGATGTGACCCTCAATGAAATTGAGTTTGACATCCCTAATCTAGACTCACTGTATGGTTTCAATATGATTGTTGTCTGGTGCTAATCCCTGCTTAACTGAGTGTTGATTGCTGGATAGAATGTGTTCTGACCTTTTGGTTTCCTTCCTAGGCTACATAAATTCTTCAGCCTGAGCAATTATTCTGTTTTACTGGTACATTTTCAAGTTCTTTTGCTATAATCAACTGGTCCTAATGCACTCCAATCAGCTTAGCATACTTTGGGTTCTTCTGAGTTCATTTCTTTCTTTTTTTTAATTGAAAAGTTTTATAAAAGTTACAATATACACCCCAAAACCCACCCACCCTAAACCCCCCCTCCCTCCCCCACTTCCCAGAGCTGAGTACAGGGTAACAAATATAATAATCATACTCTAACTAACATTAACCAACTATGTAAATAACCAAGTCCATAATGCGCTTTAACTCCCCTTTAACATAAAAATAAACAAATTAAAAATAAACATAATAATATAAACAAGTTAATATCCTAATTCTTGAACAATACAATATCCAAACTGTTAAACAATATTAATACTAAAAATAATAATAAAATTAATAAAAATTCCACTATAGTAAACTATTAATAATAAAAATACTCTAAAATTTATTCATAAAGTAAATGGAACTTTTTAGTCCCATATTTATTCTGAATATAATCTATCTATCTTCTCCAAACCGAAATGTATCTTTCGTGAATGATCCTTCAAATAAGCAGAAATCTTAGCCATTTCTGCTAAATTTGAGACTTTAAGCGTCCATTCTTCTATAGTAGGCAAACAATCCTTCTTCCAATATTGCCCTACCAATAACCTTGCAGCTGTTATCAAGTTCAACATCAAATTAGTTTCTTTAGCATCACAATCTACAATAACACCCAATAAAAATAATTGTGGAGTAAACTTTATCTTTCTCCTAAAAATCTTTTGAATGTTCCACCAAATCTTAATCCAAAAAGCTTTTATATTTCTGCAAGTCCACCAGATATGAAAATAAGTAGCATCCAAACTACAACATCTCCAACATTTGGGCTGTAAATTAGGATACATACAAGACAACGTTTTAGGATCCAGATGCCATCTATAAAACATTTTATAAAAATTTTCTCTTAAATTTTGGGCCTGGGTAAATTTTACATTTCTAACCCAAATTACCTCCCATATATCCAATGGAATCGGTTCTTGAATATTTTGGGCCCATTTTACCATACAAAGTTCATTTCTTCTATTTTTGTCCAGCAGATAACATTCCATGTTATCTTCAACTTCCTAAGTTGCAGACTGACTTTCTTGGATATAGCCCATCTCGCCTCCACCCATTTTCACAATTGTGCGTGCCTACACTTGAACTGGTTGGCAAGTCAAGGCAAGTATTACCTTTCCAGCCTCTTACTTCTCTGAAAGCAGTTTGGCCAAGCCCAACTTCTTACCTATTAATTCTTGTTAGCATTGAAATGAATGAATAAAGAAGCGTTTTCATCCCCAAGCAATAATTGTGCAATACAAAGGGGAGCCATAAAAAGCTCTTTGTAACCATATTTCTTCAACAGAGCCAGTGCGAAATAGCTGCATGGATATTGTTTTCCTCAGTGCTTTTTTTGTTTAAAAAAAAAAAAAGGTGCCGGAACTCACACACGTCATATAACCTGCCTTGCCTACCCTACAAGTTTCCATCCAAAAAAGGTGACAGAACTCCATTTTGGGTGTTCTATGACAAAAAAAGCCCTGGTTTTCCTGATCCTATTCTCTCAAGCTGCAGTGTTTAGAGAGCTATGTTTTCATATGCCCATGCTATACAGGAATTTGTGGCTATAAATTGCTATATTCACCTGTGCTTAGTAGGATTTTAACCACAGAAATGTTTAAAATCTATTATTGTATTTAAAAAGTTGAGATGAAATGTGTTTTTGCTATTGTGTTTTATATCTTTGTGTACACATTCATGCTTTCGCTTGTACAGAATGTCATCACAATATTCAAACTCTCCCTGGATTTCATCTCAACTTGTGGTGGCTTTACCAACAACAATAATAGTAAAGTTGGAAGGGACCTTGGAGGTCATCTAATCCAACCCCCTGCTCAGGTAGCAAACCCTATACCATTTCGGACAAATGGCTGTCCAGTCTCTTCTTAAAAACTTCCAGTGTTGAAGCATTCACCACTTCTGGAGGCAGGTTGTTCCACTGGTTAATTGTTCTAACTGTCAGGAAGTTTCTCCTTAGTTCTAGGTTGCTTCTCTCCTTGATTAGTTTCCATCCCTTGCTTCTTGTCCTTCCTTCAGGTACTTTGGAGAATAGCTTGACTCCCTCTTCTTTGTGGCAGCCCCTGAGATATTGGAACACTGCTATCATGTCCCCCCTCGTCCTTCTCTTCATTAAATTAGACATACCCAATTCTAGCAGCCGTTCCTTATATGCTTTAGCCTCCAGTTCCCTAATCATCTTTGTTGCTCTTCTCTGTACTCTTTCTAGAGTCTCAACATCTTTTTTACATCGCGGTGACCAAAACTGGATGCAGTATTCCAAGTGTGGCCTTACCAGGCATTATAAAGTGGTATTAACACTTCACGTGATCTTGATTCTATCCCTCTGTTAATGCAGCCCAGCACTGTGTTGGCCTTTTTGGCAGCTGCAGCACACTGCTGGCTCATATTTAAGTGATTGTCCACTAGGACTCCGAGGTCCCTCTCACAGTTACTACTATTGAGCAAGGTACCCCCTATACTATACCTGTACATTTGGTTTTTCTTGCCTAAATATAGAACCTTGCTTTTTTCACCATTGAATTTCATGTTGTTTGTCCATGTCGTTTGCTCAGCAGCAAGATGGAAGTGGTTTAACTACTTAGTCCAGCACAAAAGTATGGGATTTCCTCTAAATCTCCCAACCCAAAGATTAACCAGGCTCCTTCCTGCCTAGATGCTTCATGGTAAACATGAAGATGACTTATATCATGCTTGTACAATATGCATGTCTGGCTAGGAGGTACTCCTACCTGCTATGACTAAAATTTGGAGCAGCAGTTCTCCAACATTCTCAAGACCCTTTTGCATTCTTAAAAATGTTTGAGGACCAGACAGAGGTTTACTCTAATTGGACCTAATCCATCCCTCAGCAAAGTCATCATTAAGCAAAATATCATGTGACTGCCACGCTTAGTGACAGCAGCTCTGCCAATTCTACTGATGTCATTAAGCAACTCATCTGCAAACTTTAAAAGACACATAATGGGACCATGATGTATGATCTCTTGCCAGCTTCCCCATTCCCCTTACTTGCTGAAAGGGGCTGGGACAGTTGCAAATGGCAATCACGTTACTGCAGGATGCTGCAATGATAGTAAAACAAGCGATAATTGCCAAGTGCCTGAAATGTGATCACATGACTGTGGGGATACTGCAATGGTTGTAAGTGCAAGGGTTGGCCATATGTCACTGTTTTTCAGTACCATCATTAGTTCAAACAATCATTAAATAAATAAATAAATGATGATGATGATGATGATGATGATAACAACAATAACAATAACAACAACAATAATAATAATACTGTTGGAAGATACCTTGGAGGTCATCTAGTCCAACCCCCTGCTCAGGCACGAAACCCTATACCATTTCGGACAAATGGCTGTCCAGTCTCTTCTTAAAAACTTCCAGTGTTGGAGCATTCATCGCTTCTGGAGGCAGGTTGTTCCACTGGTTAATTGTTCTAACTGTCAGGAAGTTTCTCCTTAGTTCTAGGTTGCTTCTCTCCTTGATTAGTTTCCATCCGTTGCTTCTTGTCCTGCCTTCAGGCGCTTTGGAAAATAGCTTGACTCCCTCTTCTTTGTGGCAATGGTCATTGAGTGAGAACTACTTGTATGTGGGTTATAGCTGTCGATATTTACTGTATCAGAAATTAAAACAAAAACATTTTAAAATATTTTTTATTTCACTTCTTTGACCCCGAAAGGATCTTGAAAACCTCCAGGACACACTTGAGAACTGATGATTTACAGCAAAGTTTTCCCCAAGGCCCTTGCAATGGTTCACAAAATCAAAATTATTTGCTATATATTGAAAATATTTGCAAAAAAAATTAAAAGAATGTCACTCTCGTTATTGTTGTTAAAAACACAGGGTTCTGTAAAAAATATTTTGCTTATGATAATATCCAACAGATTTAATACTATTATTTTTAAATAATTTGATAAATAAATATTCTATGAGTGCAATCATTTTTATTTTATAATATGGTAAATATTGATAAATATAACTCACACAAACAAAAGCTCTTTTGGGGTCCTCCCTAAGTTTTAAAAAGTGGGAAGTTAAGAAACATGGATTTTAGAGCATTTTAGAGTTGTCTTCTCCTTTGTGGACTCGGAATATTCCTATGTAAGAAAAAAGGAGACATATCATTTTATTTTCTTGTCTCTACGTTATCGCAAAAAGAGTTCTTATTGGCTCTATGGAGAAGGAGGGCGGTGTTGCCAAGGCTCGCCGGCTTGCCGGCGACCAACTAGAGCCTGGGAGGGGCGAGGCTTCGTCTTCCTGGCCCGGCGAGAATGGAGGTGGCCGTCTCGCTGCTGGGCCTCTTGCTTTGGGCCTCGGGGTCGGCGGAGAGCGCCGCCGGCCCTCCCCGGGACTCCTTGCGAGAAGAGTTGGTGCTCAGTCCGCTGCCTTCCGGCGATGTGGCCGCCACGTTCCAATTCCGCACCCGCTGGGACTCGGACCTGCAGCGTGGCGGCGGCGGTAAGAGCAGACCTGGCGCGGGGACCCGGGGTAGCCCAGCCGTCGGGTCTTGACAGGGACTGGGCTGTGCACGCCCGTATTTTTATGTGCATTCTGGGCACCCGATCTGTGGATTCCCTGCACTTAGGAGTCACTATTTGTAGGAAAAGGGAGCAGCTCGCCTGTCGGTTTCTAAAAGGAGCTTGAGAAAAGCACCGATTCTCTACCCTCCAAATCCTCTCCAAAATATTGGGGGAGCCTTTCTACAGCCTGGCTGAACTCTCCCCGATTTGCCGCTTGGGACTATGGTTTTTATTGATCCCAGTAATGATTGTAATGTTTGAAATAGCGGAGAGCTTCCTCTTTCCCCATAGCGGGCTGCCTTCCTGTTGTAACTGCTCGCTTCTACCTAAAAATGCCTTCTTCTCCAACTGAGCACCTTTCCACCCTCTAGGTTTGGGATAGGATTTCTGGAGTGTGTGGTTGCATTTGGAGGATGCCAGATCACAGGATGCCAGATCACAGAAGGCTTGGGGTAAATCTATTTAATAGTCTGAATAATAGCAGCCGTTGCTTTAACTGGAGGATAAGTTGCAGAAGGATACCCCAAAGGTGCTTTTTCAAAAGCCAACTGGACTTCCTTTGTTTTTCCTGGAAGACGTTTTGCAGTTGTTGGATGAAAAGTGAAACTTTTTCAAGATAAAACAAAGTCCAGTTGCCTTTTGAAAAAGTACCTGTGGGACAACCATGAACCTGGGTGACTGAGAATCTCCATAGATGCTTGCAGAGGAATAGATAAAAAGTGGGGCAGATAGGAGTGGTAGAGAAGGGATGCTCTTCTCACTTTGCTTTCCCGTTCCATCTCCATTTTCTCCCAGTCTCCCATTACCGGCTGTTCCCTAAGGCTCTGGGCCAGCTTATTTCAAAGTATTCAGTGCGCGAGTTACACCTCTCCCTCACTCAGGGATTCTGGCGAACGCGGAGCTGGGGACAGCCCTACTTGCAAGCTCCTGCAGGTGCAGAACTTTGGGTCTGGTTCCAGGACACTGTCTCAGAGTAAGTAGGTTCATAGTCTCCATTAGTTTATGTATTTATTTGATTTACTTATATCCCGGGTAAGACTTCTCCAACTGATTTTTTTTCTCAATAGAAAGCCTGTGAAGTAGGCTGAGCTGAAAGAAAGCTTCAGTAAATCTAGTGAGTTCCTGAACTTGGGTTTCATGGATCCTAATCTAAAGCCTTAGCCACTTACCCTACATGGGTTGTGACAATTAAGAACAAATATATAAAAGTGATCTCAGCCTTCCTTTTTTGCTTGCTTACTTGCATTTGGTTACTTTTGTATACCATATGTATAAAGGATGGTGGAAAATATAATGCAATACATTCCAGAAAGCTGGGAAAGGCTTGATCTGATCATCCATTATTCATGCCCATCATATGTGGACATAAATTGCACATATATTAAACCATAATCTGAGTTTGGGGTTCTTTTGGCTTCTAGTGTTGTATGAATCCATCATGGGGAGGTGTTCAGGTTTATAAATGATAGTTGATAGTTTAGCAGTGGTATCACATGCTGATATCTTTTCTAGTTTTTTCACTAATGCTGTCTCCAATCTACTTGTGCATATGGGTGAAAAAAAAATCAGTTATTGTAGTTGGCTGCTGAGGGCATGACAACCCTGTAGAAGGCCTCAGGTGACTGCAGTCCCAGGGACAGCTCTTTTCTGCAGATGCAGTGAGGGAGGAGGAAAAAAGAAACTCATTTACCACCCCCCAAAATAAGGCAAACATAATGCAATATGTTCTAAGCTGAAACTAGTCATACTTGCTTTTGGATTTCCACTACTTATACTCCACTCTTTCTCCTTCATTACTTTCAACTCCTCAGTAGACCAAGCAGACCTAAATAAGGTCTTGGTAAATAAGTATAGGTCACACAGGAGTGAAACGGCCTATGAGTTGGGATAGTGTAACATTCCAGTCCACCATCAAAGCCTCAATCAGAAGTTTTAATGACAAAGCAAGCTGACCTGTAACCAAATTCTGTGGGATCCAGAAGCTGCCATGGGTGGGTTTCATAATCAGCCCTGTACCCCTCAGTGAATAAATTTTAACCAAATAGTGATTATCCCTAAAAAAGAAGTCATCTATGGCTCTTCCATCCACAGACTATTCCCCTCAGAACAGAAATCAAATCTAGGGTAAAACTTGGTATTTGGAGAAAGATATCATTTGTAACAGCCCATGGAAGTCAGTGTGGAGCTGATCTTGAATGACTAGCCTTAGCACGTATATTGACATCTCTACGCACCAACAGATTGAGTACTTGTAATACATTCTGAAAGTTTCAGGTATGCTCAAAACAGTTAAAAAAACCCTTTGCCCTCTGGCTTAGGGTGAATCCATCAGAAATTGTGAGCATGGCTTTCTTTCAATAGTATATTACTATTGTTGACTGTTAATGCTTGCTTTGTTTCTAGGCAACAAGGTCCAAGCTTCTGATGTATATTTTTCAAATTTTAGATACTGAGATTCTCTGCCATCAAAATAGCATTAAAATGATGTGTAAATTTACAAACACATCTTTAAAAATTTAAAGATGAAATTGCTTTGAATGTTTTAGCAAATATATCTTTTAAATTTCAGATAACTTCTTCACAGACATATTACAATGCTTACTATATGTTTTCCTTTTATAGTGTCGACAAAGCTTGGAATGATCTTAGTAACATCCTCTCAGGAATATTCTGTGCTTCTTTAAACTTCATTGATTCCACCAACACAATCATCCCAACTGCATCCTTCAAACCGCTGGGGCTGGTGAATGGTGAGTTTATATTTGTTTATTCATCATATTTATTACTTATAAATGTAAAGAGTCTTATAAAATGAATTCTGTATTCATCATATTTATTACTTATAGATGTAAAGAGTCTTATAAAACGAATTCTATAATTATAATTCTATAATTTATGAATAACAAAAATAGTTTAATGAAAAGTGCTATTTAAAAAATCTGGATACTTGGATAATTGGAAAAAAGTCATTAAAGATACTGTGATTGTGGCAATTTTCAATATAGAACACTGACATTCTTTAATTTAAAATGGCCTGCAGCAAAAAAAAAAAAAAAATGGAGGTAATAATTGTTAGAAAACCACAAGGAACAAAAAGGGTTTTAACGGCTTTTGCAGACCTCAGTGAAAGTACTATTCAGCCTCCCTAGGAAAGAGTTCTCAGTTGAGTTACCGTAGTTGAGGCATTTTCATTTTTCTTCAAACATTTTATAAACAATATTGCTTGTTCAACAGTAGTTTCTCTTTTTCTCTCTCTGCATCTCAATCCCCCAGGACTGTTCTGAGACATACAAGAAGTACAAGAAATCCAGTAGCAACATCATAACCCATATACCATATGCTACTATACGTAGGATAATATTATTTACAGAAATAATAAAAAAGGAAGAAGCTAAATGTTGACTAGGTTTCAATAATAATCAAGGCCCAGATTTCTTCAGTATATCTTTGGAATCATGGACATTTACAGGGGATATGCATATGTCTATAAACTGTCTCACCCAGGCGTTCCCTGCTTGGGGCTTCTGAATGTGCTGAACTTTTAATTCCCATGATCCCTAGCAAAATCCAGGTTGGGGAAGGTTCTAATCTTTGGCTCCTTCATTCAGTAACAGATCATCGTTTCCTACGATATGCTGTCTTGCCCCGTGAAGTTGTATGCACTGAAAATCTCACACCTTGGAAGAAGCTGTTGCCTTGCAGCTCAAAGGTGAGATGTATGTTAGCTGCAGTAGTGGAGCCTTGAAGCAGCAGCATGTCCTTTGACCCCTGGACTTCTTTCATTCTTGTAAATATTAGTTGGATATCTGCAAGATGATTGCTTTAGGGGTTTTGCCTCTTCTTTGGTGGGTATGTGTAACTTGGAATTAAATTGGAGTATCATATGTACTTGCAGTAGTTGCATAATTCCTAAACTTCTTTTGGATTGCCCGGAAAAAGGCTTCTTTTTATTTTCCAGGCTGGCCTGGCTGTTCTGCTGAAGGCTGAGCGACTGTTCCACAGCAGTTACCACTCCCAGGCTGTGCACATCCGTCCCATTTGCAGGGTGGGTTTTTGGATGTTTGGTTCATCTATCAGCTGGAAGAGTTGAGGGCAGAATGCCCAAGACTGATAATGCTGTATCTATAATCTTGGTTCCTTAATTAAGTGGAAGATGCTCCTCTTAAAAATTAAATGTAAAATGTTGTAATTACTATAGTTTTTAACATGTTAACTTTTTAAAATGTGGATGTTTTTTTCTTCCTTTGCCTTTTTGTTTCAGGACAAATCTTGTCTACGTTTATCTTGGGAACTCAGGCAGATCCTCACTGTTGTCTTTGATAGTTTTGCCAGTGCCCAGGGAAAGAAAGGTATCTCAGGCTATTCTCTCTGTATTGTTACTGCTGGTCCGGATTCATCTCTTAGCTGATCTTGTGTCGTTCTCTCTTCAGATTGGTCATTCTTAAAAATGTTCTCTCGTACCCTCACTGAAGCCTGTCCTCTGGCGTCTCAAAGCAAGGTTTATGTTGATATTTCCAGCAAAACCCAGGTAGATTTTTTTTTATCAACCATGTTTGAATATAGATGCAATGTTAATAAACCAAGCACTGTTTTTTTTTTTTAATCTGAATAAGTCTAAACAAAAAAACAGGAATTGGGAGAGATCAGGATGATGCCACTGGAGGGACCAAGACTTTTTGTTTTTTAAGGCTTGGTAGACTTTTGAGTGGTTCTTTTAGGTAAACTGTTTTAAGCCAGGGGGGAGGGGAAGGAGTGCTCAATGTAATTCTAAAATACACCCAACCAAATTCGGTAATGTGATCTGCAGTATCTGCAACAAAATAATAACAGCTGGGGCGGGGACACAAAAGGTTGCCCTCTCCAGCACAAGATTTATCTATATTTCCATAGTGTAACCGTCTCCTGAAATGGGCTTTAGACTAAGCTCTAGGTGGGTGAAAAAATCCTGATGGAAGCTCCCCATGTAAATGGACCAATTGGTTATCAGGTGTGTTCTGGAATTTAGCTGTTTGCAGTTGAAATGCTTGATAGCTTCAATAATAAAATCTGGTTGTTAGTGAAGGCATAATTTTTTTTATAGTAATGCCATTTTTAGTTTTTGTAGATTTCTTTTTGTAGTTTTGGTAGTGGGTAGGAAGTATCCTACTTGGTGTAGGTATCTTACTTGGTTTTGCTGCTTTAGTGGATCTAAATTTGTAGTTTTTTTAATTAGTTGATCATGCTTCTGTATTTTTATATGTAAAGATTTATAATTACAGGTTCCATTACATATTCAGATGTTTTAATTGACTTTTGAAATGGTTATTACATGCTCTATTGAAGAATTATTCTCATGGATATTTGAGGATGGAGAAATGTTCAAGAGATTGCCTACATGTGCACACATTCAGCGCATAGAAAGAGTACTCATGACTTGCTGTGTGTGCTTTTCAGCTGTCATATTTCCATGTGCTGCTTAAAAAGAATGTTTCATTGGTAGAATTTCCAATGAATTGGAGAACTTGGGCAGTTGTGATTCTGAATACACAGAGACTGCCTCAACAAATTGTGTCTAGTTACCTTTATAAACATAAGTTGCTCCAGAACACACAAGGAAGGATGTATTGAACATATTTTAGCTAGCTGTGGTATAATGAGAATGTGATATGTTGGCACAAGGCAAATGAGTTTGCTTCTATTCTCAGGAGCAAGAGTTCCTGGATGTTTCTCCAGCTCCTTTATCTGTCTATGAAGCGTCAGTCCAGGGAGACAGAAGAACCTACGCAGTTTATGACCTTCTGAATCCAACACTCTTCAACACATCTCGCAACCTCAATGTGCTATTGAAATGGAAACGGCCTCAGGATAATTGTGAGTGATCAGTGATTTCCTGGCTTCCCCATGCTATTTAGTGGTAATAAAGGATGCCATTGCACTATGCCATTTGAGTCTATTAACCAGGACTAATAATTAATTACTCCTCACACACTCCTATGGCCTAATACTTTAGAGCTGAATTTCATCCATGGATATTTCAAAATATTGTTTACTTTGAAGTGGGACACCAGTACAAGATCTAATGGTATTCCCAACTATCCAGGATTTTTTTTTTAAAAGAGACAGTATGAAAACTCTAGAAATTCAGAGAAGTGTTTATTATCCTCTCATACAAAAGTGTCCAAATCATCGAGCAGTGATTTGGTCACATATTATAAAAAGTAGGAAACAATAGTCCTTGCTTCCAATAGGCAAACAATGGGGAAATCCTTTGTAAGTAAGGAAATGGGAGATTTTCTTTTGAGGTTTTGCTTTAGATGTATTTCATTTGATACAGATGCTAAAGCTGAGTTTCTAACTCGTCTAATTTGTTTTCTTCAGTGGGCCTGACAGTACCGGTGCTCCATGCTCAGCGCTATGTGAGTGGTTATGGTCTCCAAACAGGAGAAATCAGCACTCTTGTGTATAACACACATCCGTATCGAGCTTTCCCTGTACTTCTGCTAGAGACTGTGCCCTGGTACCTACGGCTCTACATTCATACCTTGACCATTATTACTAAAGGAAAGGAAAATAAACCAAGTAAGATAGAAATTCTCCCTAATATATGCTTCTTCTAATCCTTTTCTTTTTAGAAAAAGAAATCCTTTGGAGCAGAACAGCGGAAATGCAAAATTGTTGCTCAGTTTTTCCTTTGCTCCACAACCAATTTGTACCCATTGATACTTAAATCTAGAGGATTATCCAAGATTACCATCCACCTTTAGGACTGATTGTTATAATTTTCAGAATGTTGGAAATCTTATACAGCTGATCTTGAGTCCTGGACTTCAAATCCCCACTTGTTTAAATCACAGTTCTATATTGTTTCAAAGAGAATCTCTGGCACAATTATTCTGATTCACATAAACAAAAGCTGTCAGTTGAGCAGAGAGAGACCAATATACAGGGCCAATATTTGGGTTTTACTTTCTAAGCCCTAGTTTAGCGATCTGCGCGTGTAACTATTCATAATATTTATTTGCATTTAGCCATAAGTTTCTGATTTATAAGCCCAGAACAAAGAAGTAGGATGTGTATATTTATTTATTCCAATTGTATCAAAACTGCTGAACAGGATGCTGAACAGGATGCCTCATAGCAAGATTAGAGGCAAAATTATTTACAATATTTATAGCCTACCTCAGTCAAGAGATGGGATGATGTACAACAAAGTTACATATAGAAAAAGAAAAAAAATACAATGTGCAATTATTAAAAACCTCAATATATAACTAAACCGTATAAATGTCCAATCATTTAACTGCCATCATACTCAAATATTGTTGTTCTGACAGGATTATTTTATTAAGAGTCTGGCCAACACATTTTGTTCCAGATATAACTTGTACTAGATAAAGGTAACTGTCCTGGTAAGGTTGAAAGTGATGCATAAGATGAAGGGCTTTTGTGATTGCAACTTTCACTGTTTAAACAAGAAGTCCCCAACTCATAAGTAGCAAGCAGCCCACATTGGCATTAATAAGAGCTTGAGAGCTGCCACCCATGACTACTGACTGGATTGAGCTGGGCTTGGAAATTGTTGTAATGCTGTGCCCACAACTCCGATTACTCCCGATGACCCAGAAGGATACTATACCATGGTTAATGGAATTTTTAAAAAATCTAAAAATAATACATGGATGAAATAATTCATGGCTAGTAGTACAGTAGAGGATATCCATTTTGGCAAGTACAGCAATTTGCTACATAACATGCTTGCTTTGGGTTTGAGCTGTATTGATTTCATCAGTATCTTTATACATTTTCTTAGGACAATTAGCACAACATTTTTTAAAGAATTAAAAATAAAAATAAATTGCCTGTTGCTTTGGAAGTAAGTTCCACTTTATTCTGTTTGGCTTTTTAATGAGCCAGTATAGTCCTATACTGGATATGTTTTTTCACAGATTAAAATGTTATCCCGAAGATTCTGATAGCATTCCAAAGGGTTAAAGTGGAGCAGTGTGATCTGCTCTGCAGGGGTGCTACGCAGATCATCTGGGCCTAAACAAGGTTCAATATATGAACCTCAAGGAAAGATTTTGTTTATTTCTCTGAAATGCTGATTGTATTTCTTTGGTATTAGGTTATATCCATTATCAGCCAGCACAGGACCGAAAGCGTCCCCATCTCCTGGAAATGTTGATTCAGTTGCCAGCAAACTCAGTCACAAAGATCAACATCCAGTTTGAGAGAGCCTTGCTCAAGTGGACTGAATACACACCTGATCCCAACCATGGCTTTTATGTGAGGTAAGCAGGGACAGTCCTCAGCCGAAGAGTTGTCTGTGCTCCATCCCTTTGAATCCTTGATTGCTTGTCTTCTTGAAGGGGCTTATAACCTTAATTTTCTTTCTTTCTCTGGTTTTTAGCCCATCTGTCTTAAGTGCCCTAGTGCCAAGCACCATTGCCATAAAAGAGGAAGATGAAGATATAAAACCACTTTTTGCTTCACTGTGAGTCCCTAAACTTTGGCAAATGAAGGAGGGTGGAAAGTGGGCAATCTGTACGGTTGACACTACTTTATGTACTGCTATTGAACATTGGAAGCTGCTTATATCAGCTTGCATTGTTTAGTCATTTAGTCATTATCTGTTTCACTCTCCCCAAGATGTTTCTTGCATATTCTTGTGTATTCCTATCAACTTCATTAGGTAGACCAGACTAGGTAGTCAGCTCCCCAGGAAGGCTATTTTTATTGAGATTGGCTATAATAACAAAACCTTGACAATCTGGTTGTGCTGTTACCTCCACTCTTATGCTCTGTTGAATGAGAGATGCATCTGCCTTGAGCTGTGCCCAAATGCCACCTTATTGCTCTGAACTTAAAAATATTTCAGCCCGTTTTGCTTAAATTCCTGCATATTTCTGTCAAGGTCACCTTTCTTTCTTACTCTCTACAATCCACCTTGCCACAACTAGTATTCACAACTAGTAATCAAGTCTCTTGATTATGATCTGGGTACTTGGCAACAGGTTTGTACTTAAAACCAGTTGCCAAGCATTCCACAATGATTTGATTGCCATTTGTAACCTTCCCTGATGGCTTCCTCAGAAGGTCAGCGGAGAAGCTGGCAGAGAAGGTCACAGGTTGCAGGGATAGCTCACACCCATCCATACATCCATCCAACTCCTCTGTGTTCACACTACAATGGCATTTGTGCACCTGATGCACCATCTCCAACCCACACCATACCCTGTGTACCCTCCAGCTGGGCAGGACCCCTGTGTACCCTCCCCAATCCCTGCAGCACCTCTCCTGCACTTTCCCCAACTCATGCCCCATCCTTCCTGACCCACATTGCCCTGTCCAGACCTTTCTGAGCTTGCACCACACCCTTTTTCACTCACATGGCACCTCTCATGAACCCCCTCACACTCTTTCCAACCCACAGGGTGCATTTCTTCCCCCACACTGTAGCAGTCACTTACCTGCCTGCTGACCTAAGACATCACCAGAGGGATAGCATCAGGATCATGAGAATTGAATGGTACCACTCTACGCTGTAGTAGTAAGGCCACACTTGGAATATTATGCCCAGTTTTGGTCATCACTTCGTAAAAAAGATGCTGAGGCCCTGGAAAGAGTGCAGAGAAAAGCAACAAAGATGATAAGAGAACACCAACAAAGATCACAAGGAATGGCTGAAAGAACTAGGAATGTCTAACCCAGGGGTCTTCAAATTTGGCCCTTTTATGACTTGTGGACTTCAACTCCCAGAATTCCTCAGCCAGGCACGCTGGTTGAGGAATTCTGGGAGTTGAAGTCCACAATTCATAAAAGGGCCAAGTTTGAAGACCCCTGGTCTAACCTAACAAACAGAAGGCTTACAGTTAAAGGCTTAGAGCCATTTTCCAGTATTTGAAGGCCATCATAGAGAAGAGGCTTCCATTTGTTCTCCATAGCACCTGAAGGCAGGACAAGAAGCATTGGATGGAACCTCATCAGAGGAATGTCCAACCTGGAACTAAGGAGAAGTTTCCTGACAGTGGGAACAATTAATCAGTGGAACAGCCTGCCTCCTGAGGTTGTGGGTAATCTATTGCTGAAGATTTTCAAGAAAAGATTGAACAACCATTTATTCAGGCTGGAATAAGGATTCCTGCACTAGGCAGAGGATTGGATTAGAAGACTTCCAAGATCCCCTTCAGCCTTATGATTCTATGACTTACAGAGATAATAACTAGAACAACAAGATTGCCATTGCTAAGCAGTGTGATTATGCTTTACAACTGCATTGCTTAGCAATGGAAATTCCAGTTCCACTTGTCATTGAAAGTCGAGCAGTATCTTTATGGAGGATTTCAGATTGGGTAAGGCTGACAGCAAGTTTGCAGTTTCTTAAACACTAATTTTTTTTTCTCTTAATTGCTTAGTATTCTAACTGGGAACACCAGCACTTGAATTTGGAAGGCTTCTGCATGCAACAGTGCATGTGCTCTGTCACTTGAGTATTTCTTTGCTGATGAAGCAAGATCATACTTGCAGGAGTCATTATTTTGATATAAATGGGAATGTTGTGCCCAAACTATGTTGTATTCTTATGTGTAATCCCATTTGAATGCTAATATCATATGAAGTAAATGTCCAATTCCTTAACGAAGCCTAAATGAAGCTTATGGTAGTTTATGCAAGCTAAAGCACTGGACACAGCTAAAAAAACCCAAGGTCTTTTGCCAGAAAAAAAGTTATATATCCTTAATCTTCCTCAGCCAGTGGCACTGTCTACCTCACCATAGCAGATCTCAGAAGCTATGGGATCACCTGTTTAGGACCTGGCTGGAGGACCACCTGTGAATTTCAGGACTACTGGATTCCAGGATAGCAAAGCTGAAATTCATCTTGGAGGAAGGCAATGGTTTATCAGTTCTGTAATCTGCCAAGAAAATTGCATTGGTCACCAGAAGTTGGGCTTGACTCGAAAATACCTTTATCTTCACCTCTGATTTTAAGCTTCTGCTGATTTTTCTTTCTCAGATTTCCTTCCTTTGATGGCTCCAGTTACTTTGTACGTCTCTACACTGAACCCCTCCTGGTGAATCTACCAACACCAGATTTTAGCATGCCATATAATGTGATCTGCCTGACTTGCACTGTGGTAGCTGTGTGTTATGGCTCCTTTTATAATCTTCTGACCAGAACATTCCATGTAGAAGAACCTAAGAAGGGAGGCCTAGCCAAGCGACTGGCAAACATAATTCGTAAAATAAGAGGTGTACCACCTCTCTGAGGACTGCTAGTGCATGTACTTCTGAAAGCTTTAGGAACTCTCCAGCCAAGAATTGAAGGGCCAACTTGTGAGAAGGTAGATGGTTGAAGCAGGGTACCTTTTGCAAGATTTAATTTATTTTTTTATTATGAATTGTTTTTCATGGTTGTTGGATAGCTTCCTTCATTGCTGATCTCAGGACTGTAAATAAAAATGCCCAGGGGATAAGCTTACTCTTTTGAAGATGTTTACATTATCTGAAAAGACAACTTCAAATAAGCCAGAATTGCTCTTGAATTTTTATCTCCTTGGTTTTGATAAAATAGAACCACTCTTATCTCATTAGCTAACTTACTTCAGTTGCCCTATACACGTACTGAGCTTGCACCTTTTAATTGCCACGTGCAACTTAACTGAAAGCAGAATTTTTTTGAGAGCAACGCATCAACACTGTTGGTGGATGTAAGAGAGAACAAACACATAAAATATTAAATAATAAAGATTTGTGCTTGAGGGTATTTTGCATACCTATTTAATTTTGGCAAATTGCTATTTTAGAGGAAAAAACAATTTGAAGTACACTGATACACAGGAGAATACAGCTTCTAGAAATCTCCATAACAGTTTGTGATTTAAGAGCATCAGCAACCTGAACAAAAAAGTACTCTTAAAACAGAAAAACCATGGTGCTGGACTAGTGATACCCACAGGATTTAGATTAAGATGATAATCTAAATTGGGGAATAAATGCTGTTTGTATGCAAACAAAAATCGTTTAAAAAGATTTCAATATATAGTTGACAAGTGGTATTAAGGTCTTCATAAAGATCATTATTTTAATCAGTCTTCCATGTACCATACTGCCTGATAGCAAAGCAAAAATTTCACCTGAGTGAACCCATAGAAATCCGTGCAAGGTATGGAAATTGGTCAAGGGATAGATTAGAAAACTTACCAGTTTTTACCCCATGTCCACCAATCCAATCTGAAAGATTTTGTTATTTTGTTGATGGTGAAAAGCTAAGGAGAATCAGACTTGGATAGTATTTGGATGAGAGACTGCCAGGGAAAACCTAGTCTGTAAATTAGACTGAGATGTTGAAAAGGCATTCTGGAAAAAGGCAGTGGAAAGCACTTTTGCAGTGTTGTCAAGAAAGCTACAAGTATGTACAGTGGTGATAAAGTTTGTGAATAGCTAAAAAGATTCTGATTAAAGATACAACACCCAAAACAGTGCACTGTCTCATCTTTATTGAATTCTGAATTAAATATTGCTCATTGTTGATGTCCAGAAGCTGAGGGGGTCTGTAGAGAGGAAGAAGCTCACACTAAATCTGAGTATTATGTGTTTTAAGGCCTCCCAGATCTGGGAGACTTTCTCATATGATCCAACACAGTGGGCATGCTCCAGGTCCCTTCTATTAAACATTATCATTTGATGGGACCAAGAGACACATCTCTGTCATGGTGCCTTCCCTGTGGAACAGCATACACCTGTGATCCAGATGGCCCAAGCCTTGCTAGCATTTTGTGAAGCACTGAAGACCTGTTTCCACTTGGGTATTGGACAAGGATATTAAGTCTTTAAACTGCAGGGGTTCTCAACCTTGGCAACTTTAAGACTTGTGGACTTCAACTCCCAGAAGCTGGCTGAGGAATTCTGAGAGTTGAAGTCCACAAGTCTTAAAGTTGCCAAGGTTGAGAAACCCTGCTTAAAGGATGATTAGGCAGATATATGAGTAGCCTCAGGGGCAATGTGCTTTTAGGGTACTTTGATACTGTTTGGTGTTTTGATCAGATATTAGTGGCTTAGAGCCGCAATTCTGGTTGGATTGAATCTACAATCAATCTACAAATAAATATTGTAAAGTCCAACTATGACCTTTGGTCCAGAAAAAAAAAACTGTTCAAAACCGTGTTTGGATTTGCATTCAGGTTTTTTTTATTCTTTCCAAAATAACTTATGCTATACTTGAAAGGTATGTAAAGTGGAGAGAGTTGCTATTACCTTGTTACAAAGGTAATTCACCAGAACATTCATTTATTCTATTTGCTGATCCTAACACATTTGGGGCTGCAGATTATTGAATTCATGACTTCAGATGGTTCTCTAGCAAGAGTCAAAAACATTTGAAAACTATTAAGATAACTATCTACGAACAGGATTCAGTCTTCCATCAATCTGAGGTCGGTAAAATGAGGACCCAGATTATTGGGGGCAATATGCTTACTCTGTAAACTGCTTAGGGCTGTAAAGCCCTATGAAGCAGTGTATAAGTCTAAGTATTATTGCTATTATCTAAATAATGAACAAGCTATACAATTTGCAAATCACAATGCTGAGTCTCCTAACTGGTATGCAAATCATATAAGGGCTTCGTTTTAGAGCTACAGAAATTTGTTGAGTTTCAGTATGCCACAATGAGATCACAGATTTTCTTATTGGCAGTTCCCATCTTCCACAAATGCTTTCACCAGATTCTCAAGCTTAAATAAAACACTACTAGTCACTCTCCCATTTCGGTTGGTGGTGAGAGGGAGGAAGTATGAAAAAATGTGTTAATACAAATTGGGGTCTGGTTTACTTCTTTCATGAACTCTAAACAATTTTCTTTATAATTTTCACCCCTTCTGGTGTCAGACCTTATTTTAATGAGCATGTGTGATATTATGGGATACAACTAGGTAATATGTTTGACTACATGTAACTGATTTCATATGCAAAGGGGAGTTTACTTTTATCCTGCCCAATCAACTTTCCTCTTGCATTTTCTTTTTGTTAATTATAAAAAATATAAAATAGGTCCTTTTCATAGTGAGATCCCACTTTATCAGGGTATCCTAATAAACTGCTTTTAAATGATCTTCTGACTCGGTTGCTTATTGGGAAGGTAAACCAAGGCAGAACGTAGAGCTAGATTTGGCTATCCATACCGGTACAAAGGCAGGCTAAAACTCTTATATGCACACATACACATTTATTTGATAAGTAAATACAAAAAGCTACCTCAGCCTAACATTCTCATTAAAAGCCATTCCCTGTACAAAACAGAAAGGGGTCCCAAAATTCCATTCCGATAAAAATTTACCAAAAAACTAAAAAAAAAAAACCCAAAAGAAAGGTAGTCCAACAGCACCATTAACGTCCGTTTAAACAAAGCGATTCGTATTGCTTTCTCTACTACAGCAAGGTGTCAAAGTTCGTAGATTCCCGTAGCAATTTCAGATACCTAGTTAAATGTGGCAAAGATATTTTCGATATCTCTGTAAAAAGTCAAACCCTTTTGCAAATAAAAATATTTTTGGAAGACCATAAATAAGAGCAGAGCCTTTTCTCCTGATCTGCTATCTTTCCGCATGCAAGTAATTCATACGAAGTGAAGTATTCCAAAGTGGTCTTCTCTCCACTTAGATTCCGGTTGCTCCGTTTCCGCCGCAGCCCCAGATAGCATGGAGCTTCTCAACTTTCCAGAGAAATGACTCCCGTTACCGTATGGCGGACGAGAGCATTTCTGTCGCCGCTACTGAGTGAGGTAGGAGGAAGAGTGGGGAACCGGCTTCACTTTCGTCATCACAGTAGCGCAGCCCTTCGCCTTCAAAGTCCGTATCTGTCGCATTCCACTACGTACGGTACCTCCCATCCAGCTCACTCTGTTCCGTGCCTACTGCACGTTATTTATAATGCATCTTCTGCTTCCAGCCTAACGCAAGGACCTTCCGCCTCGTCAAGAGCGGGACGGTGGGGCTATCTATAGCAATGCCTGTTCAGAACACCACTTGATTCTTGGGAACAGGTCGGTTATTTCTGTAGCAGGAGAGCAAACGTGGAAGAAAAGGCTCGTGGGGAAAGCCAAAGGCTATCCAGACTTCCAGGAGAAGTCGAATTGCGAGCGCTGTAAAAAAAGGCGCTGGGGTGGACGACCCAAGAGAGACAGTTGAAGGTCCTACGTGAAGCAAGAGACCTGCGAACGAATTAGTGTGGCGAGGAGCGACGGGGCGCTATGGCGTGGAGGGCAGGTAATACAGCTGCCGGTGGGGGGGGGGCGGTTGGGAGCTGCCGAAGGTGTTAAGGCAACTCTCGCCGGGAAGGCATAAGCCCGGTGGGTTCGCTTCTGTCCCTCGACGGCAACCCTGAACGCATATGTCGTAGCCCTGAGTGCGGGGAAGGGTGTGTCGTTTACTCAGGAGCAGGGCTTTGGCGGCGGGGGGGGGAGACGGAGTGGGCGCCTCCATTTGGGCGGATTCTGTATTTCATCTGGGCTGAGGGGATCTCTCCTGGACTGCGGTCTCCGTGGCGGCTGATCGGCTGGACCGAATGATCGCTTCTTCTCCCACCTCCCTCACCCGCAACAGATCCGTTCCCAGGGCAGGACTCGAGGATCAACCTGGGAAGTTCGATTCTGCAAACGTAAAACGGATCGGCGGAACCGCCCCCGCCACCCGCACGGCCGGATCCCGAAATTTTGCTTATGGAATTCCCTGCAAGAGGGTGATATTGGCTGCTTTTGGGTTCAACCCTAGTCCTAAAGCAGCTCAGGCAGAGGGGGAAAAAAATAGGGTAGCCAGAAGTTATAAAGTTATTGGGCAGTGCCGGATCTTTCGAGAGACGTCCGGCACAACTAGCTTAGCTGGTTGCTCCAAAGGGATAGAAACGTTTGTGGGAAATGGATCCATGAATGGCTGTTACACAAGCGGCAGCGTGATAGACCCAGGGTTTGACAAGAGCAATTTTCGTAGGGGCGTTGCTACTTGTGAGCTCCGTAGAGGCGTATGAAAGAAAGGCTGCTGTTGAATCCGAATGATGAATTAAAGGGGTCATATCTCAACCTGTCATACTTATTAAATATTAACTTATCTTACAGAGGTCATCATTATAACTCTGTAAATTAATCACTATTCATGGGAGGCCTTTTCTTATCGACTCTCAGTCTTTTCCATTATACCTAAGGTGCTTTGGGCATGAAGAATAAACAATATGATGATAGTAAATTGGTTTGTACAAGTGGCAGACTAGTAAAATCTGTCACGTTTTTGTAAAATGGGAGTTTCTAACAAGGTATTTCAGCATAGGGATTTAGTAATCAGTTTTAATTGTTCAGTAAGAGATCCACTAATACACCAACATGTTCACACAGATTAGAAGATATATGGACACTAGGGAACTGAATAAACATTACTGGGCAAGTCTATATTTTCTGTTACAACATAGCACTAAAGAGCGTGAAAGAGGTTTTTTTTTCCTTGCTGGAAAACTATGGAAATACTACAGCTACTACAGCTTTTGATAGAAAGTATAATGTATATTTTAGATAACTTTAGTTTTGTGTGTGTGGAAAAAATGTTTCAGAAAAGAGGCAAATTATTCCTGCTGATATATTTATGATTATTCTTTCTGTTTCCATATCTGAAGTATCTCCTTTAATTTTTTGAAACCAATTGATGGAGTAGATAGACAACTATATTGAAGTGCAAGTAAGAAATGCATTTGTAAATCAGATTTGTGTCCAGTATATTATAGAGAGATAGAATAAAATGGTATGAGACTACCAAGATAGTTTGATACCATAATTTTGGGATTGTGCACCAAAAATTGTAGTCCAGGTGTGAATGGGCAAATCAGAGATGGTAACGATCTTAAATAATATTTTGTTATAATGAAAGGCCCTCTCCTGCTTTTATGTGAATTTTACTATTTACCTTTTTGAATTTAAGAGGAAGTTTTCTGTTCTACATTGACAGTTCCAGGGAATTTTGATAATTTATCTGTTTCAATTCCATATATTCTTTCTTCCAGCTATTTTTCAATCGCCTGATTAACTGTGTTTCATACAAAGAATATGTACATGAATGTACTTCTTTAAACATTACTCCACACTTGACAGTAATAATTTTTATCTCCTGGTACCATTTTGGCTCCAATATACATGAATGTCTTGATTTTTAAAAAAAAAGCTTTTTAATTTTCTGATGGAAAACCAGTCTGATGCAGTGGTTAAGGCATCTGGCTATAAACCAGGAGACAATCAGTTCTAATCCCACTTTATACATGAAGCCAGCTGGGGCCAGTCACTTTCTCTCTCCCTAAGAAAAAGGAAGGCAGTGGCAAACTTCTTTAAAAATATTACCAAGAATCTATGGGGACTAATCCAGATAATGTCCAGAAGACAGAACTGATTTGAAGGTACCCCCCCCATTTTTTGTTAGTTATATTGAAGTAATTCTTAGAGGTGAAT